AAGTTTATACAATCGCATGAGATTTTATAGTAAATTACTTGTATAAATACTCAATCTGAGAAGCTTTATTTTTTTCCTTTCTAATATTGATTATATATAGTTTAATATAATAACATACATAGTTCTATATATATTTATAATATACTTATATACCTATAATATACTTAGCACATATAGTACTTCAAATACTTTATAAATATATATATATATATATATATACAAAATATCGATAATTAGTTTTTGTGTGAGGAGCAGAACGAGATAAAGGTACTCAGTCGAGAGATCAGTGTGCTAAGGAAAAGAAAAAGAATTCTGCACAGTGATATAGAGCAGAATATACAAGAAGAAACAGAAAGAATTACATTACATTCTTATATTGCCAATATATTATTTCTAAATCTCAGAAGATCAGGTACTGACATCGGTTACACCCGGCATTTCATAACCCAACTGCCTTAGCCTCATTTTTGCAAATGTTGGACAAAAACAGAAAAAATGCTCTGAGTTGTCCACATTCTCAAGACAACAGTGATATACTGGATTTGTGAAAATCTTAGATGTCATCATGTATTGTATGCTATAAGGATCCCGATAAGTACCTCGAAATTCTATCTGTTTAGTTTGTAACGCCACAGATTGTTTGTTCTTATTTGCAGAGGTATATTCAACGGCTGATCCTGGGTCTTTGCAATAAATCTTACTTTGTCACCGACGATTTTGGGAAAATGAAAATATGTATAATCTCCTTTGATTACGTTATTTATTATTCTTTTAACTACATAGATTTTGAATTTATATTTTAATTTGTATTTGTAATTGACGTAACAAAAATTTTGCTGACTTCCCATCAGATTCTTTCATAAAGTCTATCATAAATTTACAGGAGTCATTTCTCTCCTGTTCATTTTCTCTTGTGAACAGACTCACAAGGCTATTGTTGATCCAACAATGATAGGAATTCTTTGCCGAAAAATGGTTCTGGTACTATATCAAAATCTGTACTGATAACTAGCGTCGGTAAATCGCTAAACAGGCTGACTCGTGAGTCGCGATACTAGACTCGACCAAAAGCGATACACATTTGTAAGAACCCACTTTTACAAAGGAGAATGACATACTGCGATCTATAACATCTATAATGTTATAGGGGCAAACAGAGTAAGTAAGTACATCAATTCATTCTTTAAAACTGTGACTTTAAAATTTAATTTTCTATCTTTATTTAATAAAATGATTGTATCTATATAACAGCACAGGGAAACAAAAAACAAACTCATTATATATACATAATTTTTTTTAAAAATTCAATTTCAATTTCCATTTCTTCCACTGCATGAATTCAATTTTTATTTTTCATTTTTTTTTTGTATTTTATTTTTATTTTTTATTGTATTAAGTCAGCAAAAATATAAATGCAAATACATTAAATAAGCAAAAAACAATAAGCAAAACAGTAACAAAATGAAGTACCGTAATCACAAGGATTTCAGAGTATTTTCGTTTAAATCAGCTTTCATATACCGAGAACACACCAACGAAAATATATTATTTGTATTTCTGTTTATTTATTCGAAAAATAAGCAGAAAAATAAACCAAAGGCAATGCACACTGAAAATTCAAACAATAAATAAAGCATTAACTTCATGAAAATCATGAAAATTTTAGAAGGAATTGCCAGGATAAACAATATTTTATTTTTATTATTTTTTTTTTCGTTTGTGGTTGAAGACTTAATATTCAGTATTTTTTTTTAAAGAGACAACAATTGAAGAGAATGAAGAGTAAATGTAAATAAAAATAATATTTATTTATTTTATACATATATATAATATAAAGGATTTTAATATGTTAATTATAAAGGATTTTAATATGTTAATTATTGAACTAATAAAACCCGTTGACTGGCTGATATATTTTTATCAAAATTAAAATTAAATTCAATTAAGTTCATGTTCCAATTGGTATAACCATATTTTCACGGATCGTTTGACGATGGAATGTGGAATAGGCGCAAGGATATATTTAACTCAAAAGTATTTAAGAGATCCTTTTACACTACAAGCCCGTACAGCATCTTCCAAACTGAAGCTTTTGCTATAAAAGGGGCAGATCGATTGATTTCTGAAAAGAATTTATAAAAATGTAAGATTGCAACACATATCTATCCGCGCTTGAAGAAAAGACGTAAGAACGATTGCTCTATCTATGTTCAAACATAGCTTAAGCTTTGGGTTCCGTCTTCCTTAACACGCTCAGTAATATTTTCAATAATAGCATTGACCAGGTACTTGCATTTATCAACGCTTCTAGCTGGTTTAAACTTTCCATTACTCTACGCATTATTAAAAATATGGACTTAAGAAGGTTTCCTTAGCTAATTGAGAAGGATTCGTTCCGCCCTCCAACTCAACTAATTAACTAAGAGTAAGCAATTAACTTCTACTGTAGAGCTATTATAATTGCGCTATATAACTATAGTAAGTACATATGTTAATAAAAGTCAGTAAAACAGTGCAAAACTTAACTAAACTCAGTGAGTAACCAGTGCAGAATATCATTATTCTGGGTTACTGAACACCGTGAAATACAAGAAACTGAAACCGATGTTGAATAGCTGTAAAACGGAGAAGCACCTTTGGTAGAAAAAGAAAGTTTGATCTCATTTAAATGTTTTCAAATTTATATCCATTAACTTTTATGTTTAAGAACACTAGTTCAAAAGCATACTTTAAACTAAACTAAGCGAGTAATATAATAAAAAAAAAGATGAAGGAATTGTAACAAAAAAAGAAAATATAAAGGGTTTGAACAGTGGTAGTTATTTGCAAGGAATATGCAGCGGAGCCTAATCTAATTCTTCTTGTTCTTTTAAAAAAGACCCGATCTTACTACAAAGAATATAGAATAGTAATATCTAATATAGAAGAATATTGAATAATAATAAGAATATAGAATTAATAATAAAGAATATAGAAGAAAATAGGAGATAAAATAGGAAAGTAGTGGCATTTAA